TGTTCTAGTATTCCTGCAACGTTTCCGTCACGAAACAAATTACTTTTATCTTGACAATTACTAATTAATTTCACTTTTACTGATGAAGTCGTGTTAATATGGCACGTGATGGCAATACTGTTGTAATTATTGTTTCTAAGGTATTAATTTAAAACAAGTTTTAGGATTTGTTTGACATTTATAAATTATAATTTTTATTTATAAACTAATATAATACACAGGCTGGCTCTAGGCATATTATTGCAAATAATCTACTCTCAGATTATGTTGTTCAGCATAACATAACATTCATGAAATTATGAACTTGCCTTTTATGAGTGTGCACAATTTTAAACTATGCATTAACCCCGTTTGTATCACATGTAAATTATTATTAGATAACGAAGATAATTCACCCAGATAGCACTTGAACTTGCTTTGAACTATAACTTGAACCCTCCACCGACAGTCTGTTCCCGCTCGTGTAGCCATACCGGCAATGTTGTATATTCGTGATAGGCGTATCAAACTAAAAGTATTTATTTATATGTCGTGTATAAAATGTGTTTGTCGTGTATTGAAAACGAAGCTATTGAAACGGAAATTAATGTAGATTTCTGTAATGATGTGTTTGACAATTCCAGCTCGCCGAAACATGTAACGCTTTGATTAAGGTTGCTATTTGGGACTGATAAAAGCTAATGTAAAAAACCCCATAGTATATATTAAAGTTCCGGGGGTACAAAAATGAATCTAAAAAAACTTTTTCCTTCCTCTGAAAAAATATCAATATCTATTCAAAAAGTTCGAGGATATGAGTACACTTTTGTATTTAATATTTAATTGATTCTTAAGAATTAGGCTACACTTAATGGAAAGCTTAAAGGAAGAGGGTGTAGGCCCTATATACAACATTTATGTACAAATTGTGATGAAATAATATGTTGTACAGGACTGGGAAATATATTAACCGTATACTGGAGCTCTTTTATTTTTTATTAGTCTCACTCTACGACTTATTAAATGATTATTATTGAGTGACAGACGTTATTTTAACAGTTGTGAATAAAGTTTATTTTCATTCACAGCAAAGAAGATTTACAGCGTTGGATATTAAATTGAAATTGTATCAATTCCTCGACTAAGACCAATAAAACCTCATCAATCAGGAAAATAATTAAAAGAAATAATTTTTCCGACAAAATATGTGTCTAAGATGTATCGACTAAAGTATAAACGTTGAATCGACTAAAACTTTCATTTACTTGACGTTTGATTGAAAATCCTTAGTTTAAACGAAAATACAATAAAAAAGGAATTTTTTTTAACGAAGACTTGGAGGAAAGATAAATGTTGTTGGCTGTCAGAACCTGAAGCCCTCAAGGGGCTGCCCTCTGCCCAGACCTCAAGGACTGTTGTGGGAAGTCCTCTACGTCAACAACGGACTACCGAGTCATTCACACACAATTATCGGCCTAAAACTACATAACTAAGTTCTCAAACTAACTTTTTCATCTTAAAAAATACTAAACAACTATACCTAGGTTTCGCATTAAAGTTATGTTTGTGTCATTTGTATTTTAATCGTATACCTTCAATATTAGTTCTAAAATAGTTCTTAAAAGGGTAACATGAGCATGCTTTTCACCTTCAAAGATTTAATAATTATTAGAACATATTATATGAGTCACTAAAATATGAAGTTAATTGTTGAATATCTGAAGGGATTGCTGTTGAATAAATAAACTTTAACTGAATGTTGGTATAATATTTTATGAGTTGTTCATATATTATGACAGAAATGACCATTATGTTTGATTGATTGTTATATTATATCTACTTTCTGTTGATTATATGATAAAATGATTAACAAAGTAATTTAACGAAATGATTTACTATTAAGTAATACCGAAACAAATAATTGCCACAAAGTAATGCTAATTTTATTTCATGACAGGTCTTTCCTTGTCTACAAAAGTTAAATTTGTATACTATAGTTTAACTTGTTGGGAAATTTACTTTCACTGTTAACGAATAACAATGCTTATACTATAATTCTTGACATAAAAGTAATATATATATTTTATTTTTGTAGAACGAGACCTAATAAGTATTCGTTTACCCCATAAAGCATGATATTAATTTATACTTCGGGTTTTTAGAATGTTTTTTGTTACAGTCAAAGTTATTGATTGCAAAATTGTAAGACACGTGATGAACCATAAAATTGTACAAAATAAATTTCAATCCCCGACTCAAATCGGGATTCAAATCAGATTTTGCCTGCAAAGAACTCGTGTGTGCGAACGCCTTTTGGAATCGACAATTAAGAATGGATTAACGAAATATTTGAGTAAGAAGCTTACGTTTAAACAATCTCTGAAAAATTACGTTTCTCGTTTTTGATCCATTGTAATCTATTAGGTGCCATTATTATTTTCTGAACATTGTAAATATTGTCTTTGGAATACTATATTTATAATATACTGATTTTTTATGCCATTCAAGGGTGATTTTTAGGAGTATTGAATAGTTATGAGAAACTCCAAAATTGGACTTTTGTTTGATTAGCTACAATAATTGTACATTGCTTTTCGTACTATTACAAGATGTTGCGTAAACATTTCTATTGCAACCATATAATGTCACGATTCATCCAATTATTTCTATGATTGGTCTTCCTTCGATTACAATTTGAAATTACATTGTATTTTCAATTATATTACGTAACATTATCTGCACTTCAGCAAGTTGTATTCTATTAGAACTGCTATGTATGCTTTGGGTTGGCGTATTGTATTTGAGGTTAACTTTAGATGGTATACACATTTCAACTTTCATAATTCATACTAACCTATATGAGCTAACTATTTATTAATGTTTTAAATCGTATGATTTTCAGATACGTGTTGTTGATGAATTATTTACATGCAAGAATTGTTTTTCTTTTCTTATACAAAAATAACTGTTTAATACAATTCAAAATAAGAAGGTTACAATTCTGCAGACTGCCTACAGTGGTCCTCGATCATCAAACGGGTTAAGCGTTTCGGTATACTGTATTATCATGGCATCTTCAGATCCTATTTGGTTTTCAACAATTAATGTCACGTTACAGTAAAAAAAAAACAACAAATAAAAAACTATTTTATACGTTTTACTTATGAGTATTCCTCCTACTAATCAAGTCAATATTTTTCAGGTACATATTTAAAGAAAATTTGTATTTCCACTAACACATTTTAACCACTGATAAGTTGTTATGAAATACAAATTTACTGATTAGATAAAAAAAATATTCGTGTTAGTATCTTAATTACATTTTACACACTAGGATAAATCCCATATTGCTTCAGCCGACGAAAACTTAACACGAAATAGTAGTCAAACTTCAAAATGTAATTACAGTAGTACTATTACATTTAATATATTACCCCTATTGTTATTTTAATTAGCATAGATATTGACTATTGTCAACTGGTCAATTTAAAATACTGTCAACGATCGCATAAGTGAATGCAATCAATCCTTTAAAAAGAATCTGTGTACTAAATTGTGCATAATAAGCGTTCAAAGCTTGCATTCGAGGAAAAAGTATTAAATACATAGAGTAATAGATGTATACATTCAAGTTATTTTAACCAAACATTGATTAAACAATGTATGAGCAGACCTTTTAGAGAGCACGCCGTTTGACTGTCAACTTTGTTAATCTTTCCTTTTACAAATCATCAACAACGTTGTGACATACAAGCTGTTAATAAATCAGCAGGCAAATACACATTCAATGGGGACAGTCTGCTATTCTACCGGTAAAGTCCTCAGTTCTATTGACGGTAGGGCACGAACCATTCTGAAATGAAAAGCTCGACCTTTCCCTGCTCACGCGTGTAACCTCTGTGTGACCTCTACGTGACGGCCTGAGCTGTGATGTCTTTACTAACCTCAGGTAAGGAGTTGCAACCTCTGGGCACGAAGTGAACAATCCTGAATTTTAGGAAAGGTCACAAATTATTTTCGTCCGAACAAAGACTAGTTTAGGTCCAGAGGGTGGCAGAAAGAACTCCAAACAAAAAGCCAAGAGAATTAGGCTCAACTCTTTATGAATTATCTGTATCGTCTCTATTTAAATGTTTTTTCGAATATATCTTGTACGTACACGAGTAAGTGAGGGTAGGCAATTCAATTTTCTTTATATTCATGTCCGTTTGTAAACGTATTAATATAAATCTAGCACCAATAAAGCAAAACAAATATATTAGTAATGAATATTATAATGACAATTATTAATATTAAAATTCCTTTTTTAAAGAAAATTATACCCTGAAAAGAAGTAATAATGATACCATAGCTAGTTTTAATCTAGCTTCATTACAAATTCAACCAATCAAAGAACAAATTTATTTATTTTATTCTATGCAACTTCTTCTTGCACTTACTGAAGTTACCTCCCCCCCCATTGTAAAGTGAATTGTGATAAAATCATTAAAAGTAGGTTATTTAAACTTAATGTGGCACATTTTCTGGTCACAACTAGTATATTCGTCTTCATAACAAAATTTAAACTACATTCTTTTTATGTTTATTGATTCGTAGCAAATCTATGTAAAACTAATAAGTGTCATTATAATAATATCTTCCTTGGTAATTTGTTGTTGTTTTTATCCCAAAAAACTAATACAATTTTTAAATATTTTATTTTGACTCGTATAATTTAAGTTACATAGGTTACAGTAAAATATAGAAAATAAGAATAATCAATTAAATTTAACCGAATTGAATAAACGTTTAGGCTGAAAACATTACACTTATCTTGTCTCAGGTATAAGTTTCTAATTTTGTTATAACTAAATTTTACTAACGTTAAGTTTAGGTATATTAAAAAATAAAATAATACAATAATACAGTAAATACTAAAAACTTACCACCATTGGGCTCTTGCTGTACTTTAGAATTTTGAAGGTTACAATTTTGTTTTCGAAAATAAATTCCAAACAATCAAAAAGCATTTTCTGTTGTAGGATCTGGGTCCAAGGGGTGGAAAGGGTGGGCTGCTCTCACTGCTGTACCAGGTATTTACGGCATAAATACTTAAGGGTGGTTTGGTTACTTTTATACTCTCAACTTACATTTATCAACATTGATCTCTTAAATTTTAGTATGAAAATTTTCTAATCTTTCATTAGAAAAATGTAGCAGTCAAAGCTTGCTTTTTCTTTAAGGAAAAAAATATTTATATAGGGAGCTTAAAATATTTCGAGGCAAGTTTTCCAAAGTGAGTCTTTTTTTTGTAAAATGTTAATTATAATACTTGATAAATTCAGGATATAATTTTATTATGAGTGTTATGCATGAGCTATACCTTCACATACTGCGCTATGAATACGTGAAAATACTAAACCTAATTAGGAGTTATTTGGAAAATATGCATTGTAAAGCTCAGTCCGGATTGGAACTCCTCATCTTCGTTATTATTGGTGTAAATTCTCCGATTAAAATGGCAGGCCAATAAACATATTTAACCTAAAATATACTACTGTATACTTTTCCTAACGTTCGTGTAAATGTATATACGTTTTACAGTATTGTTAGACTGAGTTAAGAGTCCTTGGAAGCTGGCGGCCATTCTTGGATATTTTAAAACAGCCGCTGAAGAGTTATCTACTATCTCAAAATATTTTTCATACCAAAGTGATTGTATTTAAAATATCTAGGACTCTGTAAGATTAGGACTTTTCTTTGTACTTTTTAAAAATTGTTTAATGAACAGGCTCCAAGTACTGGATGTGTGAAGATAAAAATAATTTGAGCCACTTAGCATTCTTCTTTTATTTGATAACCAATAGTGCAGTTAAAATGTACGTAGACTTCAGGCAAGAACTGAAGCTGAAGTGCAGTTCTGTGCTGTTTAATAACAATTAGACGTTACCGCAAAGATACAACCTATCTGATGCACCCCTCTATATTGACAGTTACCCCTCTTCCCACCTTTTGAACTTTTTTGAAGAACTGGGAAAAGTACAGGAATTGAAAGATTATGCTTAAAACTAGACGGGTTTTGAGTGTTTATAGCTACTGAGTAGGAAAATAGGAACCCTAAAACTAACTTTAATAAAGTAAAAATTGGAACTACATGTTGTAGGTGTAATGTGTATGAAATCTGCGTACAGTCGATACAAAAATCTATGCAGTAGTTCCTCTTATAATTATCGTGAACTATAAAGTATATTTATTATGAAAAATATAACCATTAGGTAGAATGACACAAAAATCGATGTTAGCAGCTCTCCCGATTACAACAGTCAACTAAATTATATTGGTTGGGGGAAATAAATTTGCAAGCTTGATTAACACAATAATCGATATATTTTACTAACATATACTACTAATATGCATAGATTATCTAACTGTATACTAATATGAACTAACTAATAATATGTTTCCCCGATTACAATCGTACACTATACATTTGTTTGGTTTAGGAATAGTTATTTGTTTAACAAGTGCCCGAGGTGGCACTTTGCACTCATTTTCCTACAGTTACTATAGCCTTAAAGCATAATAATAATTCGTTTTTGAACACTAAACAACACGTTTTTAAATCCGTTTGGTTAAATCCAAGCGTTGGATGAAATGGGAAACGCTGCACCAGCTGATCGTAGTCGCAGTACTGTATCTTCAGTGTTGCCAATTTTTTTTTCAAGCGTACACCTATTAAGTGCCTAATAAAAGCACACAGTTTTTGTTGTTTGGTTTGAATACTGGAGTGCGGCATAAGTAAATAAATGCAGCAATTAGCTACTTGGCGTGATATAATCAGCCAAGGAAGCCCTTTGTGTTAGATAACTGTAGGAAAAAAATGGCTACAAACTAAGGATAACTATTTTTAATCACCTTTCTCAACCTATTCCATCGAAAACATTCGAGGATTTACACTAGAGGCTTTCATCGGTTTGCTTTCATTCAAATTCATCCACGCCATTAACTACAGAATAATGTCAACTTCGTCGTTTTCACAGTGCAAATAACGAGAAAAAATAATAGCGGGGTTAGCGAAGACGGCGCTTAGTAACGAGCAACTCTTTGAAGCTTGCTTATCATTATCGGTGATAACGAGTAGTCCTTCCCTTCCACGTCCTTTCTATCACCCCCCTTCTGAAGGTGAAAAACCGACCTTAGAAGTCTGGAAGTCTCAGCTTTTAGCTTTCAAGTGCTACAATAAAAACAATGGTAACGTTGCTTATTTATAATCGAAATTTAAATGAAAAAAATGTTGTAATTTATCTCAAACTTGCAATCGTAAGTTGACAATTAGAATAGAATAGAAAGGTGCTTTATTGAATTCATATTATGTACATTACATTAAATGGATACGATAGATTATAGTGCACATACAACAATGGTCATACGACCGTCTGCTGGGTTGGCATAATGTCTATTCAATTGTCCATTCGTACGTTGACAATTACTCCTACTCACTTTAGCACTAAGAATAATATGGTGTGCCATTTATTTTGTTATTAGGACATATTGATAATCCAACGTGTTATTATTTTAAATCTCATGAGTTATCTAATTCCCTTTAACAAACAAAACGTTCCCAACCAGCATTGAACGCTCCTCGGTATTTCAAGATATGTGGTGGTTGTTAATGAAGGTACTAACTTTTTTCTTGAAAGTACATATTTTCTTTTTTTCCGAGTATATCTACGCTTGTAGCACTTTTTGAAGGTTTTTGTAATACAAAGGTCCAAACACTTGTCTTAAAATGTCGACATTTTGTTCGATTGCATCATTAAATGACAAATGACATTTGGGTCTGAAAACGACAATACCGGTACTTAGATTTGAACCAGCGACCTCCATTTGAAGGCGAGCTCTGTACAAATTACACAGGTTTTTGTATTTTTATGCTTGAAAAGATTTTCAAAAAATATACAAACGGAGATAACTTTTAAATTAGTAGAGGAACATTTAGACTTAAAATTAATTACGGTAAAAGTTTTTTTTTGCTCTGCTTGGATTGCAATTTTTTTTAGTAATTTAATCATAAATTATAACTTATTCGGACGAGACCTCAAGAAACTGGTCTTTTTGTTAGTCTGACAATTGTGGAGTTGTAAAATCCGCATATAGGATTTTTTCTAAACGATACTACTTGTTAAGGATTGTCTGATATGTTTAGCCACTATTCGTCAAACGCAACCCTAGGACTATCAAAATAAATTATAATTATAAATTAATTTAAGTTAGCCTAGTGGTTAGCGTCTCGGACTGTGAGGGTGGGATGGGTTTAATCCTCTTGCACATCCACAAAACTGAAATGGGTTTGAACACCTTTCCCAATCGTTTGCATTGACTTGATTGATAATTACTGGTGTGGACACGAGCAAAATAAAAGATTAAGATAGAGGATGTTCAAGTTGTGATTTGGAGTTATCACGGATAACAAGCATGAAGTTTCCAATTGAGTTTGTGCCTACGTTGGCTGCATGTTCGTGGCGGAGGACTAGACACTTTAAACTGTACATTGTAGACTGTAGACTGTAGACTTTAGACTGTAGACTGTAGACTTTAGACTTTAGACTTTAGACTGTAGACTGTAGACTGTAGACTTTAGACTGTATGCTGTAGAAGTGTAAACTGTAGACTGTGGTGTGTAGACTAGAAGAGGACTTGTGACTTGCGGAGGTGAAAGCTGAGTCTCTGTCAGGTCATCGACCTCAGGCTGATCTCAGGATGTGTGTCATCAGATGTGTGCCACAACCGCGGCGACGACCACAGACACAGATAACAGACAACAAACAGTATACAATACACGTTGGAAAATAAAATCTTTGAACGTCAGACAGAAGAAATAGATAACAATGAAATCAGACAACAGACAGTATAAAACCGACGACGACAAGCATTTTCATTGACAGCACCGGGGGCAACAACATAGACAACATAGATATCAGACAACAAACAGTATACAATACACGTTGGAAAATAAAAACACTGAACGTCAGACAGCAGAAATAGATAACAATGAAATCAGACAACAGACAGTATAAAACCGACGACGACAAGCATTTTCATTGACAGCACCAGGGGCAACAACATAGACAACATAGATATCAGACAACAAACAGTATACAATACACGTTGGAAAATAAAAACACTGAACGTCAGACAGCAGAAATAGATAACAATGAAATCAGACAACAGACAGTATAAAACCGACGACGACAAGCATTTTCATTGACAGCACCAGGGGCAACAACATAGACAACATAGATATCAGACAACAAACAGTATACAATATACGTTGGAAAATAAAATCACTGAACGTCAGACAGCAGACATAGATAACAATGAAATCAGACTACAGACAGTATAAAACCAACGACGACAAGCATTTTTATAATTAGCACCGGGGGGCAACAACATAGACAACACAGAAATCAGAAAATAAACATTATAAGACGTTAAAGACAAATCACTGAACAATAGACATGAGGCACAAACTATATTAGGCCACACAGACATCAGACAGTAAATTGTACACAAACATCAGATTACAAACAGAATACAACAGACGGTAAATAAAAAACTTGCCTTTGGCTCGCTGAGGGCTACCCCCAAGTCCCCTATTTTGGTTGGGGGATTGATCCTCCAGAAGGATCCCCTTTTATCCTCGGAGAAAATCTGTTACTGGTAATTTTTTTACTAAGTAAAATAATACAATAATAATTAGTTAGTAAAATACGAAGCACTGTAGTCTATTTCAACTGAAGTGTTTTTGATACAAAAATATTAGGGGGGTTGATTTTGGGGAGGGTGTAAATCGTATACACTTTTATAATTTATTCCTTGGTTTGAAAACGAAGACAAGACTCATTGAAAACTGCCTTCTGTCATATTTTGCTTACTAAACTCTACTGTGATAGTGAGTCAACATTTTAATTAAGGTTATGATGTCGTAAAATCATTTACACCTCACTATAGAGCAAGTTTTTAAAAGAAATTTAAGTAATATGTATGAATTTACATAGCCTGTTTGCATAGCCTCACAGATACCGAAATACAG